AGCCCCCAGCCATGGGTTTGGCCCCCCTCTGCCACTGCCTTGCTGTGTGACCCTGGTCAGCACCCTGCCCTCTCTGGGCCTCAGTTCTGTGAGTAATGGAACTAGATGTACTCTAAGAACCTTTCCCAGTATGGATGTGCTCTGACTCTGTGTTCTAAATTATCAAAGGGACAACACTCCCAACCAGGAAGTCTTGCTACCACACTCTTGAGAGGGTAGAATAAGGCTGCAGAAGATGAGCCCCCAGAGCCCAGGGCCTGAGGATAGGGGAGAGGGTGAGGGTTCTTAGGGGCCTGTAAGGAGAAGCCAGCTGGGGGTTGTCATGGAGACACAGGATACCAAACACACACACACACACACACACACACACACACACACACACACACCATGGATGCCTGCTTAGTCCTTTAGCATTTATAAAATACACACTCACATCCATCACATCCATGACCCTTTCATTTCACAAACACGCAGGGGCCCAGGACCACGGGGGCAAACAGTACGTGAGACATCTCCAGCTTCCAGGAGACTCCCTGGGAAGAGAAAGGGGCAGCGGTGTGGTCAGTGCTTGGACTGCGCGGGCTGGGGCATGATCTGGAGTAGGAGCAGCTTGGACAAAGACCTGGGAGAGAGAGACAGGGAGACAGGCTGAGAGACAGAGAGACAGAGAGGTCTGGAGTGTGGTGTTTGAAGGGGGTTGGCAGGTAGAGGTGGGGCAGGGTCAGATTCCATTAAGGCCACTCTAGGAGGTAGTTCCTTATCCTGAGGGTGCAGGGAGTCATCAGAGAAGAGGCACACTGTCAGATTTGCGTGCAGACCACCACTTGGGGTGGGAGGAGAGTGACTTGAAAGAGGCAGGACTGGCAGGAGGCCCAGTTAAGAAGCCACAGCAGCTGTTGGGGACGGGGGTGCAGGGGGAGGCCCTGGTGTCACAGACTGGGGACATCCCCGTGGATCACCGTTCTACTTCCCCCTGAGGAAACGGAGGATTTCACAGGTAAGGCAATTGCCCAAATTCATCAGCTTTTTTCACCTCCCTGAGCTGCCTTTCAGGCCCCCAAACAGTGAGCACTCCTGAACGCTTCCTACATGCCAGTCCTGAGTGCGTAACATGCTGAATCCATTTCATCTTCCCAAGAACCTCAGAGGTAGGTGCTCTTATTATTGTTCAGATGAGGAAACTGCGGCACGGAGAGGTTCCGTAATGTAACGTGCCTAAGATCACATAGCTGGCCAGTGGCAGTCAGGATTATCATCAGGCAGCTGCAGCCAGAGGTGGCCAGAACGTTTAAGCCCCCTGAAATGTGCGTGGGGGACAGGAGAGGCGAAGGGGTGTATGTGCACGTCCTCCAGAGCACCGGAGGAATCTGTGCCCAGACAGAGGAAGCACCCAGACCGGAAATCCCGAGAGCTAAGCTTTAGGTCCAGCTCTGCCCTAAACTTGCTGGGTGACCTTGGGCTACTCACACCCCTCTCTGGGCCTAGAGTTTTCTCACATGAGGCATAAACACAGATCTGCAGAGTCCCCTCTCCTAGCTATGCTTCTCCCACTCCTAGATTAACCCCTCCACTCCCACACCCCAGACACTCCAGGAGACTAAGGCGGGGGGCGGGGCTGGAGATGGGGTGCACTGTGGAATGGAGAGGAAGTGATGGGCTAATCCTTCTCCAAAAACCTAGTCAACTGCAGAATATCCTGCCTCCCCCCCCCCCCCCCCACCCCGACTCTAGGCCTGAGTTTGCGTTTGGGACAGTAAGCCCCACCCACATTGCTTCCCAGAGCCTGCAGGGACCAGGCTGCACAACACTCCCGAGGCCAGGCCTTGCTTAGAAAGTGTCTCCTTCGGAGCCCGAGTCACCAGCTATGTGGGTGCTACCAGGGCCGCCAAGCCTGGGCGAGGGGAAGGAGGGCAGTCCTGCCGCCACTTGTGACAGTAACTCGGCCTCTCCTGTCTGGGACTTGGTTTCCCCATCTGTAAACTGAGGGGCTGGACCTGGATTCTCAGACCCCCATGAAGAAAGGCAGCCACAGGGCCTCCCCTTGACACTTGAGGCCCCCCACGGACCCCAGGGAGGTCCCCCGCCTCAAAGCAGGGCAGGTCTGGGAGGCGAAATAGCTGTGAGGTTGATGGCTCTGGGTCCCCTGAGGTTAGGCCTGCAGCGCAGACTGTCCCCAAGGGACAGGCCACTCCGGCAGAGCCAATCACAGCTAGCACACAGGAGCCCAAATGACAGCAACTGAGCATCAGTTTCTCCATCTGAAAAGGGGGAATAACTGAGAGCACTGCACGGAGATTAGGTGCATAAAAGACCCTTGGCACACAGGAAGGGCTCACAAACGGTTAGTGTTATTATCGACTTGAAAAGAGAAAATAATTCAGTGACTCCTAGCCCATCCCCAAGGAGCACAGCCCAGCTCTGCTCAGGCTCGAGGACCAAGGCCTGGGAGGTGCAGAACAGCAGAGGGAGTTGTGCCTCCCAGGAGGGCCAGGCCCAAGGCTGGCAGGGGAACCAGGACAGTTTTCTATGATAAACTGTGTGGTCCAAGAGGCTTAATTCTAGAGGGAGACAATGCCATCTGCCTGGTGGGCACCTCTGAGAATCTGGGAGATGGGGAAGGGATGCCACCATCTGGTCTGCATGAAGTAGACCGTGGCGGGAAGCAGGAAACCTGCTCACATCCCAGCACCCATGATCACCTGGCCTGAGATAAGCACTTCCCCACTTCAGGCCTCAGCTTCCTCATCTATAAAATGGGAGAGTTAAGCTCCGTCCCTCTTGCTCACAGATGAAGGGGAGTTATCACTTCCATGCCGAGGCATTGGGTGTGACTGGCTGCTGCCTCTAAGGGTAAGGAGTCTCTGTTAAGAGACTGGCATTAATGAGCCAGAAAGGGTTCAGGGCTCAGGGCTCAGGTGGCCTATTCCTGCCTGCAGCCTGGCCCTCCTCTGGGAAATCCCTTTAGTTTAGCTCTCATCAGCTCACTGGCCCACTCAGAAACCAGCCCATCTGCCTCCTGAATGCCAACTATTCTCCTCATCTTAGCATTTGTGGGCCCCCAGCCTCCCTTCCAGCCCTGGCCCTGTATTAGTAACAGATGATAGGCACTAATGATGAACTAGGTACGATGTGCTTTGCTGGATTCTTCCAATTCACACCTACTTCTCAGGTGGGAATAATTTTATCCCCTGAACACTGAGGTACCTTAAGTCTCTGAAGCCAGTCTGTAAATGGTAGAGCTGGAATTGGAATGCAGGCACGAGGACCAAGGCCTGGGAGGTGCAATGTCTGAAGACTCCCCTCTCCTGCCTCATCTGCACAGTGGATGCCTCCTGGTTTCTGCCACTCCTATGGCACTGCCCCTTTGCTCCTGTCCCCTCTGCCACTCCTAGCCCGTCATCTGGCCACTCATCTCTCCTGCAAGGATCAGAGGTGAAGCACTGAGACTTCCTGGGAGGTCCCCGCTCCCTTCCCTCCGCACTCCCACGGCTCTGGCTCCTTATTCTGTCTTCCTGGGGATCCTGCTGTTTGAGCCCGAGGTGCCTCCACGGACCCCACACTGAGGATACCCCAGTGTGCAGGCATCCCAGAGGAGCGTCTTCAGGGCAGGGTTCAGTGAGGTGCCCTGGCCTGTCCAGCTGTCAGCAGTGAACCAGCCCACAGGTACTCCTGGGCCTTCGTATGGAGACAGGAGTAAACGGGTGGGGAGTCTACTGGCAAATCACTTCAAGAAACAAAGTGAAATGATCCTTATTTTTTTGGACACAGTGGCTATGATCCCCACCTCTTGGCATTCACACTCTTGGGTAGTCTCTTCCATGTTAGCAAGAATGGCTTGTGTGATCAACAGACTATGCAGGAGTGATGGGATGTCACTTCTGAGATAAAGTTGTAAGAGGTGACAGCTTTGATCTTGGTCTCTTTTGGATCATGTGCTCTGGGGAAAGCCATGCCATGAGTGGCCAAATGCAGAGGCTTCCATGGTGAGGCACTGAGGCCTCCAGCCAACAGCCCCAGGAATAAGATTGGAAATGGGTCCTGCAGCCCTCACTAAACCTCGGATTATTGCAACCTCATGGAACCCTGAACCAGAACCACCCAGCTAAGCTGCTCCCACATTCCTGAAGCAGAAACAGTATGAGATAATAAATGTTAGCTGTTTCAAGCTGCAAAGTTTTAGGATAATTTATGATGCAGCAACAGAGAAGCCACAGGACTTCTCAGAGCATTTGCTATGCTGATGTAAATCTCCAGGAAAGATATACTGTATAACATAACATTCCCCTTCGCTATTTGGCCAAGGAGGCTTTCCTTTCTGAATTTCCTTCATCAGAGAAAACTGATGTAATATGGCTCTGGTCCTACAGTGAGATGCAACTTCTAACCTAGATCTGCCTCATGAGTGAGCCACTGACCCTTCCAGAACCTCAATTCTTCCCTGTTAGAGTAAAAAACCACCTGCCTTTGCATAACTCATGAATGTAGCCCCAGACGGGCCGATGCTGAGCTACTCAGAGTGGGTGGGAGGGCGGCCTGGGGAGGCCCTAAGAGGAGCGCAGAACCCTGGGTTCTGCGTGGTGGTAGGTGAGCCTACAGCCCACCGCCTGCTTTTCCCCGAGTGAGATGTAGTGTTTTCTTCTAGCTTGTGCATGGCTCAGAGACAGGAGGCGTGGGCCTGAGTCTCCACCATCCGACTGGAAGTTCCTCTAGGCCAGAGCAGGAGCCTCCATCATCAGTCTGGGATGGAGCCCAAATACTCTCCCCTTTCCCTCCTCCTCCCATCCTGTGGACACACCACAGCCATGGGTAAGAAGGAACAGCAGAACTCCTATGGTCTTAAGAGTAAACATGCCCTTCCTCCCTTTTTAGTTTATTCCCTCTACTCTTTATCTGGTAAAGGGATCAGTCAAATTTCAGGATATCTGATGGGTCAGAAACCCACTAATACCATGCATGTCCCTCTTTGTTAAAAAGAAGACAGTTTAAAAAAAAAAAAAACCTAGAATGCGAATACTTTATTATCAATGAGTGACTGGTTTAGCATTTTGTCTGGGCATTAATATTTCAAAAACCATACACCAAACCCAGGCTTTTCCACCTAGCTCTGCTGTATCATTTTCTTAAAAAAAAAAAAAAAAAAAAAAAAAGGAGAGGGAGGAGGAAAAGAAAGAAAATATATCTGTATTGAAAGAATTATAAGCCAAAGTGCGTCTTTCTTGTTTTGTCCATATACACACATTGCACCATACATAAATAATTACATTGTAAAAATGACTCCATAATTACAAGTATAATATATATTTCCATATAATATATAAAACTTTATATTAAATCTAGGTAGATGATATTTGGGGGGTTTCGTCCGTGGGGCTGTGTCTCTGGCACTGGCCCGCCTGGCGGTGGGCAGGTCGGCCAGGCCTCGCGGCTGCCGCTATCTGTGGTTGTTGAGCAGGATCTCCAGCCAGCAGGGACAGGAGGTGATGAACTGCCGGGAGTAGCAGGGCCCCCAGCCCTTGGCGAAGCTGATGCGGACGCTGTTGGGGTCGTAGGGGCCGTCGGCGGCGTCGGGCTCGGGCCCGTGCTGGAGCAGGCCCGAGCGCTCGAAGTCGAACACCTTGATGGAATAGCCCGGTGGCACCTTGCGCACGACGAGGGCGCGTCCGCCGGGCGCGTCCAGCGTCGGGGAGTTGACGAAGATGGGGTGCTCGCCACGGTTGTAGGCCCACACGCCGTCAGGCTCCTTGCTGAGCAGGATGCCGAAGCCGATCTTGCTGCGCGTCCGCCGCACCGACTCGCTGCGCTGATCCAGGTTGAGCTGGCCCAGGCAGAAGCCGCTGCCCTGAGGTAGGTCGTAGAAGATGCTGACGGCCTGGTCGTACACCGCGTAGAGGCGGCCCACACGCGTTCGGTGCTCCCAGTATGCCACGCTGCACCAGTGGCTCGGCTTGGTGGCATCTGGAGACATGCTGGCGTCTGCGGGGCAAGCACAGGGCACAGGATGTTAGCGATTCAGGCTGGGGAAGCGGGTGGCCGAGGGGAGCAGCACTCCTGCCAGGACGCTGGGGGTTGGGTGGTGTCTCTAGCAGTCAACACAGATGTCAGCAAATACAGTGGGACCTTGACTTACAAGTTTAATTCGTTCGGTGACCGAGCTCGTAACTCAAATGACTCATATGTCAAATCGTTAAAGTGAACGAGTGAGACACGTGATGCTGGGCTGATGTTGTGGCGTTCGCTGTGACGTTCGCTGCGCCAACTAGTGGTGGGGTATCTGAAGCTGGCTCCTAACCCGAATTTTAGCTCGGAACTCAAAGCAAAAAATCGGCCGAGAGACGGCTGGTATATCGAAAAACTCGTTAGTCGGGACACTCGTAAGTCAAGGCCCCACTGTACTGTGTGCCAGGCTGTCCTCAGGAAATTTAACAAACAGGAGGGCACCCCCCCCCCCCCAAAAACACACACACACTCACTCACTCACTCACTCACTAACTCACAGAGTAAAAACAGAGGTTATAAATGTACAGAGAAGGCAAGGCACCGACTGTGTGCTAGGTGTTGTGGAAACACAAACATGAACCACACCCAACTCCTGGCCATAAAATTTCTCAAGCTGGCCAAAGTTGGAGAAACACCCATGCACCCAAAGGAGGCGCTGGGCCTTGAGCACCTGCAGTGCGCACCTGACCTCAGCGAGTCCTCCAATCACCCTATGAGGAGGCCATCTTCTCCTTTCACAGAAGGACCCAAGACTGCAGGCACCAGCAGCCTGCTCTCGGCCACACAGGTAGTGAGTGGCATGGCCAGGATTTGAACCAAGTCAGTCCAAGCCTCCGCCTGAACAGAGCAGGGTTAAGTATTAGAGGGCATAGTCACCAACCAGGGGACTCAGGCAGAGGAGGTAAGGGGGGGGGGGGGGTTGGCCCCCAGGGTCCCTTCTAGCCCAGAATGGGAACTGCCCGACTGCTCCCAGCCTGGCCCTTGGGCAGTGTGCCCAGTTCCCCCAGTGCCCGCTGCACCCTGCCACTCGAGTTGGCTCTCTGGCAGAAAGTGCAGGTTGTCACCAGGACCGCAGCATCTCTGAGAAAGGGAAGGTGAAGGTCTCTAAAATGCTAGAGAAAGTCACTCCTCAAGGGCTTCGGAGTCTGCCAGCTCTCACGGTTGTGTGCTGTGTCTCTCTGGGCCTCCGTTTCCCCACAGACAAAAAGGGGTGCCCTGGAGGATGACTGGCATCCTTTCTCCCTCCAGCCTGGGGCATCTCCGTGTGTCCAGGTGAATTTAAGTTTTCTGAGACCAGACCACACACACACACACGCTGGAGTCTGTCTTGAAGTGCAGCCCATGCTCGCTGTTCTCGTGTGGGCAGCTGTTCAGAGTCAGAAGCCCTTTAATGTCTGCTCTTTCCCTGGAGCTCACAGCTCTGAGGAGCCGTGGGCACCCATGACTGCCCAGTCTGGTGACATGTTCCCACCCGGGCTCTGCTGGGGCGTTTGCCCAGAGCGAGAATTCTGCTGGAGGCCTGATGAGAACACAGCAAAGGCGCCTATTCTCCAAGAGAAACTGATTAAAGTCCAACTAAACCTGAGAGAAAAAACCCTGCTAACAACTTCACTGAGGAGCCTGCGTATGGTCAGCTCTGACCGTCAGCTCAGCCTTACCCACAAGCCCCAGAGCAGCAGGGCAACTGGCCCCCTGACACCTCCTCCTCTGTGCTAGGAAGCCCGCCTGGCTACCTGGCAGGAAACTGTCTGCCTGAGGGGCCTCCCATAACCCGCCAGCTCTGCTGTGGCCTTGGGCTGGGCACAGCCCCAAAGGGCACGCCCCTCATTCTATGAGTGGCTTCAGGTCCCAGCCATAGGTCCCTAGGACAGCTCCTGAGGAGGCATCATTTTACCTCACATCCTCCGTCCAGGGCCCTCCTGGTTCCAGCTGACTGTCATGTGGGGAACGGAGAGGCCCTGCTCCCTGCCCTCACTGACCTGCCCCTTAGCCGGTGGACAGAGACCACTCTATCCCATGGTGAATGACCAAGCTGTGGGCACTGGGTCAGTCCCAGCAGGTGGGCAGCCTTTGCCCCTCTCCAACCACCCACCCACCCACCCACCTGGCACTGGTTGCGAGTTCCCAAGCACCATCCCAGCCTGGCCATCAGATTCCAGCACTAACCTTCTCACCAAGCAAAGAGAGTTAGCATAGTGCTCTCAGCAGAGAGAGGTGAAGAAGCAAAGAAGCTATGCCTGGAGGGCTCTGGGCAATAGGAACCCCCGAGTGTCTTCCATGAGCTAGGCGCCTTCTGCACAACAGCCCTGGTTCACCTCTGTTATCACCCCATTTCACAGGTACAGAAACTGAGGCCCAGGGAGGTGCCCTAACAGCTCGAGGGCACACACTATTGAGTTCTGTAGCCAGCATCAGTTCCAGGCCATACTCCAGAAGGGAGTGCTTCTCCATACTCTGGGCAGACTCCCCCCTAAAACCCGTGCACACTGAACAAGTCCCTCCCTTTCCCTAAGCCTCAGTCTCCCTATCTGTAACCATGACTATTCTCATGGTCTCTGTGTCCTAGAGGTGCTTACCCACAAGCCTATGAGTCACTCCCCTCTAACCCCCAAACAAAGGTCCTTCACTCCCCAAGGACTCACTGCAATCCCCCTTTCACAGATAAGGCTCAGAAAAAGCCACCTTTGCCCCCAGGTGTAGCTGCTCCACTGTACCAGAGAAAGAAACAGGTTCACAGTCAGAATGTGGGGAGTGAGGGTGAGGATAATGGGACTGGGGTCGGGGTGGGGTTCCTCTCTCCCATCTTCCATAAGGCTTTCAATCCAAGGCCAGATGGGACTTCCTGTCCCCTCCTCCCACCAGCCAAGCCAAATGCCCCCTGATCATCTGCACCCTCTCCCTTCCCAATCAAGACCTGTGTCCCTGGCTTTACCCCAGAGCCCCTCACGGGGATGGTGAAATGTGCTTGGGGACAAACCTCACGGAGCTGCCCCTAGGGCCCAGCCTGCCCCTGCCCCAGCTCTCAGGCTCAGGGACACTGCCGGGGCCAGGTCTCGCCTCCTGCAGACTCTTTGGCTGAGCAGACTAGGTGACACCTCATCAGGCTTGGGCTCCTGGCCAAATCTTCCAAATTCCAGAAAATGGACGACGCCTCAGAAAAGCCCTCCCTGACCCCTCCCTCCTGTGCAATTACAGGCTCAGCCCCTCCCTTGGCCTGAGCAGGTGTCACTGCCCCTGGCTAGGCTAGACTCTCAAATGGGAAGGGGTGGGTCTCAGTTCTGTCTGTCCCAAGGCTGCATGTATCCCTACTGTGCTCTCAAAGCCACTAAAAGGGAAAGAAAATACATCTCAAATGTTGGCACACTGTCCTCGCCCCCATCAGAATCCTGCTCAGCAGGTGGGGCCCATGGGCTGGGCCAAAGGGGATGGTGGGCAAGGACTTAAGTTGCAGGTCTGACCTGAGAACAAGCCAACAGGTGAGCCAGCACCATGTTCTGGGGAAATCCCCATCCCCATCCAGCTCTTAGGGACTCAGGGCTCCAGAGCTTGAGGACCCCGTGACAGCATCTCATCTGGGGACCCCCAATACTTTGGGCTTTCACAAACCAATACACTGTGTAACAGAGAGGTTGAGAATGTCACAGGGTTACCACTATTTTATTTTGTCATGACATTAAAAATCCCCAAGACCATCTACTATCACTAGCACAGAATAAAAGTGTAATTTGCCCGGCCAGCGTGGGGAGGTCACGGTTCGATTCCCAGTCAGGCACATTCCGGGGTTTTGGGCTTGATTCCCAGTGTGGGGTGTGCAGGAGGCAATGGATCAATGATTCTCTCTCATCATTGATTTTCTATCTCTCTCTCCCTCTCCCTTCCTCTCTGAAATCAATAAAAAAATACATTTTTTAAAAAAAGTGTAACTTAACACTAACAAAATTACAGAAGTATAATTTGATACTAAAAAAAATCAGAAATTTTAAAGTTAATACATCTAGTGATCAGCAATTTTCAACCGATGTGTTACAAGAATTTTTAAAACATGCAATACCTGACTATTTAGTCAGGGGTACTGACCTATTTTCCTTTAGATTGTCAAATAAACAAAATGACAATAGGCAACACAACAATAGCCATCCGGTGTGAATGCCCTGTCTCGAACCATACATATAGGTCATACAATAGAGCTGCATCTTATTGGTCACATTGCATAATAAGGTTGCATCTGATTGGTTAATTCTTGGTACTAGAAAAATCTTTATATAAAAGTATAGACACCTAATTTTTTTAAAAAGTCACTTTGGAGCAAAAAGGGCAGGTAATTACTACTATTATTTTCTTTTGTAAGTCAATCAAAATTATATCTATGGACGGGAGGGGTGTCAGATTGGCAAAATATGTATGTTTTTGGTGTGCCGCAGTAATTTAGTAATTAATTTATGTGCACCATGAGACGAAAAGGGTTGAAAATCACAGCATTTAGATTATAAGAAATTTTCTTATTTCTTTCATCATGGACCAAAGAAAACTTAGTCCTAAAACTAGCCTGTGTGAACCACTGATTGAGTCCAATGTCCTTGTGTCCAAAAGATGGCACCCCTGGGTGCAGGGTGACTCCCCTGAGGTCATACAGTGGGGTGTGGCAGAACTGGGACCAGAACTTGAAACCCCAGAATTCCAAGCTAACGCTTGCCACATGATCTAAAGGTTCCAGAACTGCGATAGACCGGATGGAGGCAGACCTAAACTAAGGCTCTCACCACTGACTACATGTGTGGCTGTGGGCAAGCCTCAGTCTCCCCGTTTGGAAACAGGCTATCCATAACTGAGTGCCTCACTTACACAGTCTATCTTGGGGTTTTCTGGGAACTCCCGGCAGATCAGCTGGGTGCAGAAAGCAGCAGCTGGCTGTTACTGGTCCCAGCATTGGGTTGACTCTCCAGAGACCTGGGATCCCTAGGGGTGTTGGGAGTCAC